CTCAAGAAATAAAGTTTCCTTTTTTTTTTTTATTTCTTCCTCAACTTGCAGAAAGAAGAAGCGACATACCCAAGGTTCTTCCTTGTATACTTTCTTTGTTCTTTTTTCTCGTTACCTTTTGATTTCGATTCCATTCTCTCTCTCTCCTTTTGAGGGTTGGAGAAATGCGGAATTTTGTATTGTTTGATGCTTGAATTTGGTGACACAATTGAATTTCTCTGGTATGTTATAGTGGACTGGGTTTTGAATCTTGTATTGCTTGTTCTATGCATGTGCTTGCTCTTCTTTACCAAATGTTGTGACTTGTGATTGTAAAGAACAAAACCCATTTGCTAAAATCTCTTTACAATATTGAAACCATTTAATCTCAATATTAATTCAGTTCATCATTGAATTTGGCTCTGCGCTCAAATTACAGGACACTAGTATATGGTAATCATGGAGCGTCTGAAATCTCCTCCTCCTCTCATGATCGTCTCGGATCTTGATCATACCATGGTAGGATCCGATTCTGTTCTTTTGTGTTTCTTTTTTCAGCAAACAAAAAGGTTTCTTGATGTGTGATTCACTTTGCAGGTTGATCATCAAGATTCTGAGAACCTCTCTCTTTTGAGGTTCAATTCATTGTGGGAATACGCTTATCGCCGTGACTCTCTTCTTGTCTTCTCAACCGCAAGATCGCCAATTCTTTACAAACATTTGAGAAAAGAGAAACCTTTGTTGACTCCTGATGTCATCATTACTTCAATTGGAACCGAGATAGCGTTTGGTAACTCCATGGTTCCTGATGATGCTTGGGTTGAATCCTTGAACAGCGATAAATGGAACCGTGAAATAGTCTTGGAAGAAACAAGAAAGTTCAATGAGTTAACTCTTCAGCCAAAAACTGAGCAGAGGCTACACAAGGTCAGCTTTTACATTGATGAAGGTCAAGGTGAAGCAGTGACCAAGGAACTATCACAATTGCTGGAGAATCGTGGCGTTAAGTGTTTACTTATCTTTCTTTGTGTTAGGATCTTTGTTACTTGTACCAAATGTGTTTAATTGATGATTGGCATTGTCTTTATATTTCAGTTGGATGTCAAGATCATTTACAGTTGGGGAAAGAATTTGGATGTTATACCGCGAGGTGCAGGAAAAGGAGAAGCCCTCGAGTATCTTCTCAAGAAGCTGAACGCTGAAGGAATATTCCCGGTCAATACACTTGCTTGCGGTGACTCTGAACATGATGCTGAACTATTTAACATTCCTGATGTTCACGGTGTTATGGTAAATACTGTTCATTTCGTCGCATTTCATCACAATCTCTCCATTTTTACCAAACACCTGACTGGTTTTGTCTATGTGCTTTGTGAAGGTGAGCAATTCCCAAGAAGAGCTATTGAAGTGGCATTCTGAAAATGGTTTAAACAACTCAAAAGTTATACATTCAACCGAAAGGTGTGCGGATGGGATTATTCAAGCCATTGGTCATTTTAAGCTTGGCCCAAATCTTTCTCCAAGAGACATTACTGAATTCTTGAATCGAAAGACGGACAATGTGAATCCTGGTCACGAGATTGTGAGATTTTACTTGTTCTACGAGAGATTAAGACGCGGTGAGATCAAGAACTATGAGACATACATAGCCAGCTTCAAAGAGTCATGTGTGAGTTAATTACAAGATGCATATGGAATCCAACTTGTGTATCGACTGGACTAATTCCTTTTCCGTCTGTTTTTTTTTTTTTGTATTGGAACATTTTCAGCACCAAGCTGCTGTCTTTTTCCATCCATCAGGTGCAGAGAAACCTCTGAGAGACACCATTGATGAGCTGAAGAAGTATCATGGAGACAAAAAAGGGAAAAGGTTTTGGGTTTGGGTAGATCAGGTTCTGGTAATAGACAAAACTCCGGGGAGATGGATAGTGAAGTTTGATAAGTGGGAACAATGCGGTAAACCAAAAAAAAAAGGCATTTTTAGCAATCTGATCTTTGATGAAACAAGTCCTATGATTTCTCTATAAACATTGATTGTTTGTTACTTATTGGCAGAGGATGAGCGTAAATGCTGCACAACGACTGTCGAATTCACTCCAAAGGTATCATCAGAATTCTATAAAGATGAGCTTTACTTGGTAGTATGATCTTGAATTGAATGAAATGGGAAAATGAATTGCAAAATCTGCAGGGAGGAGGAGATTTAGTGTGGGAGAAGGTGAAACAGATATGGTTGGAGGAATCAGATGATAACAGTTGTTGGATTATCTGAAAAAACTTGGAGACTTTTCTTCTCATTCTCATTTGTGAATTGGTAAGAAGAACAGTCTGCAGGATTTGACTTACCTTTACTCATATAGGGGATTCATAAGTTTTGGTTTTACATTTATAAATTTTTAAAGAAGAAACAAATGTTAAA